TTATCCCCATCAGGTGGTGGGAGCAGCCGTTGTCGAACAGCACCGCCATCAGGTTCGCCTGCACAGAGGCGGCTACCGCCTTGTAGTCTTTGCCGGCCTCGGCGCCGACCATCGAGCACGACGCCTCCCCGTCGCTTCGTCCCTTGCCGCCAGAGGAGGAGTCGGCGTCCTTCGCCAACGTCATCGACTTCGACGATGCGCTCCTTGCACGGCTTGTTGTCGCGACACTGAGGACCGTTTGCCCGACCTCCTACGGCGTCCCTTGACGCTGTCATCATCGCTTTTATCGCGGTCGGGGCAGTCAAAGGAGAGGTGGTCAGGGTCACCGCAGATCCAGCACTCCCGCCTGTCGACCACCGCCTCCTCGACCACCATCTCGAGACGACTCAGTTCGCTTGTCATCCTTTGCTGACTTTCCACCTCCGCGAGGCTTCCCACGCTGCCCCTGTTGACAACTTTGCTTCATCGGGGTGACGTTGCTTGCCTGTGGAAGGAGCTCCGTGGGCCCCTTAGCCTCCTGTGTTGCCTCGTCCTTGATGATATGCGAGGTTAGCATGTCCTCATTGAACGACTCACGCACGCCGGACATCACCAGCATCCAGCGCATCAATTTGTAGCCGCCCGGGAGGTCCTTGACGACGTGCGTTATGTAGGATGGCGTCAAGACTCAATGCTGACTCCACATGTCGGCTAGGATCCGTCAAGCTCGGTTGCAGTAGTCTGTCGCAGACTCCTGCTCGCCCATCTAGAGGTGGGCGCAGGTGCTCTTTTATTTGGCCGATATACAGGTCGTCTGAGGCCTGGTACGTCGACAGGATGAACCATGCCTAATGGCCGGCATCCAGTCGAAGTCGGCACGGCTTCAGGGTGATATGCAGCATCGACGAGCAACACCTCAAGATGACCATGAAGGTCAGCAAGTGAGCGGCACGAAATTCCGCGCGTAGCAACGGCGTCACCACGTCACCGTCGGCGAAACCCTTCAGCCCTGTTGGAATCTCCCTCACTCTCCCTTCTATTCTCTGCTCTCTTCTCACTCCCCCTTACTTCCCTGCCTCAACATACTCCTCCCAATCCACAAGTTCTCATGTTCCTCGTGAGCCTTTCCACTCCCTCCTGCCTCCTCTATCCTTCTTCCCAACCTCACTTGGCGGTTTCCTTCCAACACCTCTACCCCACTGTCTCCTTCCGTTTTCCTTTGTGGCCTTGATATGGTGCAAGAACAATCCATTTCTATAACATCATGCTACTTATTATGGTTTAACTAAGCCGGCATATTTTCAAATAAGAAATCACTATGGAAGCAAAAACGTACAAGTAGCGACACTACCATGGCCCGTTCCCCCAATTCTACCTCTTGCTATCTTATCTTTGGCACTAGCTGTTGGTGTAAGGGCCTAATAAACTCAAGCTATTAGGACTTAATCAAACTTAATACCTCTCCTCGGGGTCACCTCCAAGGGTCCTTGGGTGCCTGGTACAAGACCAGCCCCTATCCTCGGGTCCGAGTTTGTAGAGAGAGGAACCAAGAATGACTTAGCCAAAATAACGAGAGTACCTTGAACGTCGCGCAGCGTGCCGTGCAGACCGTCGATCGGATTAAGCTGAGAATTCGCTATAACGAAGCTCGCTCCAAGAGCTTTAAAATAAGCCAAGTTGCCTCGCAAAAAGTTATGCCATTACGAAGTTCTGGCTCGGACAGCGTTTGCCTAGCGTTGCATAATAGCGCAGAAACGAAACTCCAGCGAGGAAGGAATTCGCTTGAATCAATTGACTATATTCAGGTACAAACAGAGAAGGAATTTATAGTTCTAGCTAGCAAGGACCTTGGGAATCAACCTGGGAACAACCAGGGATGATCCCAAATAATTCCAAGCAACAGAACCAACCTGGCTGGACAAAATAGCAGGTGGTAGGTTGGTAAACAACCTCTGGTTCTGTTTTTCCAACCTGGGAAAACAACAACCAGGTTCAGGTTCTAAAAGCAGAACCTGTTTTGTCTTTGCCCAACCAGCCAAATGCTGGTTCCGCTGGTTTCCCCTGGCCCTGTAGCATGCAGATACAGACAAAGAACATCCAACCTTCACCCAAATTGTACCCCTATAGTGCCTGCCCTGCTACACTATAGTCAACCAAACAAAATAGTACAATTTCGAGTTGGATAGAACTGGATCTGCGCAATCAATTTAACCGAACCGCAAAGCTTCCATCTTGGGTTCCTTTGCGGGCTCGTCCTTTCTGCTTGCACTGTTCATAGCGCGTACAATGTTGTGCCGAAGTGCACATTGCGCGAGTACCTGCAAATGCATCAAGCAAAAATTGCGAAAGCAAACAAACATACGAACATTCCATTCACACACAAATGCATTCGCACACGCATACTCATACAAACAGACGGCAGGATGTCGTGCAATGTGCATTTGCACCCAACATATTCTACTTCTCCTTTCATCTGTGCCAATACTGCTCCTATCCCAGCACTACTCCAATCAGTATACAGTATGAACGGTAGATCAGACTTGGGCAGCTCTTGCACGGCTCCGAACTTGGCTGCCCCCATCAGATCTTGTAAAAATTTCTCCTCCTCCTCCGCCCCATTCCCATTTTTGATAATTTTACAGGAGTTGGTTGAGCGGAGTTGCTCGCCTGCTGAAGTTTTTTACGAACTTCCGGTAGTAATTCAGGAACCCCAGCAGGGCTCAGAGCGCGCTTCTGTCATTCGGCGTCGACACCCTGTCTAGCACTTCTACCTTCGCTTTCTGGATCCCAAGAGTGTCCCCCTCCACCTCGAACCCGAGGTATCCCACTGACAGCTGCCCGAACTTGCACTTCCACAAGTGACAATTCAGCCCCACGGCTTCTACCGCTGCTAACGTCTCCTCGATGTCCTTCACATAAGAGGCACTGTCCGTGCTGAACACAATCACGTCGTCAATATAACAAGCTGCATGCGGCACATTCCGCAGAACCTGGTCCATGATGCTGAAATTCCGCCGACGCACTATTTAACCCAAACGGCATGCAATTTCATTCATATTGGCCGCCTGGATGATGAAATTGTTGGTATAAAGGCCTAATAGACTCAAGCTATTAGGATTTAATCAAACTTAAAACCTCTCCTCGGGGTCACCTCCAAGGGTCCCTGGGTGCCTGATACAAGACCAGCCCCTATCCTCGGGTCCGAGTTTGTAGAGAGAGGGGTCAAGAATGACTTAGCCAAAATAACGAGAGTACCTTGAACGTCGCGCAGCGTGCCGTGCAGACCGTCGATCGGATTAAGCTGAGAATTTGCTATATCGAAGCTCGCTCCAAGAGCTTTTAAATAAGCCAAGTTGCCTCACGAAAAGTTCTGCCATTACGAAGTTATGGCCTGGAAACGTTTGCCTAGCGTTGTAGTGCTAGCATACTAGCGTTGACTCGGTAGCATTCCGCTGTCGAACAGCATAGAAACAAAATTCCAGCGAGGAAGGAATTCGCTTGAATCAATTTGACTATATCCAGGTACAAACAGAGAAGGAATAAATAGTTATAGCTAGCAAGGACCTTGGGAATCAACCTGGGAAGAACCAGGGATGATCCCAAATAATTCCAAGCAACAGAACCAACCTGGCTGGACAAAATAGCAGGTGGTAGGTTGGTAAACAACCTCTGGTTCTGTTTTTCCAACCTGGGAAAACAACATCGAGGTTCAAGTTCTAAAGACAGAACCTATTTTATCTTTTCCCAACCAGCCAAATGCTGGTTCCGCTGGTTTCCCCTGGCCCTGTAGCATGCAGATACAGACAAACAACATCCAACTGCCCCTGGTGAAAGTGCCTGCCCTGCTACAGTATAGTCAACCAAACAAAACAGTACATTTTCGAGTTGGATAGAACTGAATCTGCGCAATCAATTCAACCGAACCGCAAAGCTTCCATCTTGGGTTCCTTTGTGAGCTCGTCCTTTCTGCTTGCACTGTTCATAGCGCGTACAATGTTGTGCTAAAGGCACATTGCGGGAGTACCTGCAAATGCATCGAGCGAAAATTGCGAAAGCAAACCAAGACACGAACATTCCTTTCACACCCAAATGCATTCACACACGCATACTCGTACAAACAGACGGCAGGATGTCGTGCAATGTGAATTTGCACCCAACACACTCCCCCTCAGCCTGCCGACTTGATCCCTCTCCACGTGCATCTTGAGGTAGTACTTTACCTCCCCAAGGGTCTTGCACTTGAAGTTCTCCATCAGCTGCTGCTGCACTTTCTGGATCTCCTTCATGCTGCTGCTGAAGAGAAGAATGTCGTCCACGTACATCAGAAACAGCACCAGCTTCTCTCCCTCCCCCTTGAGAAAGAGGCTCTCATCACAGCTGCTGGTTTTGAATCTCATTTCCTCTAAAACAGCTTCCAACTTCTGGTACCAGCAGCGTGGCGCCTGCTTCAAGCCGTAGATGGACTTTTTCAGCTTGCACACCCTGCCCGTACCATCCTCATACCCAGGCGGCTGCGTCATGAACACCTCCTCCTCTAAAATCCCATTGAGGAATGCCGTTGATATATCCATCTGAATGATGAATTTCCCACTAACAGCTGCATCTGCCAACAAGACACGGAGGGTAGGGGGTTTGGCAGTGGGAGCAAAGATCTCATCGAAGTCCCTCTCCTCCTTCTGCTGAAACCCCTTAGCCACCAACCTACTCTTGTAGATGGTGACCTGCCCCTTGTCATCGGTCTTGATCCTCAGCATCTATTTGCATTGTATGGCTTTCTTCCCCTCAGGCAGCACCACCAGATCCCATGTCCTATTCTCTAGCAGGCTCTGGTACTCAGCATCCCTAGAAGCCAGCCACTTGTCCCTATCTGGTCCAGCTAGTGCCTCCTCCATGCTAGCTGGTTCCTCTGGTGCAGGGGCAAGAAAATTGTAGGCAGGTTCATCCTCATTATCCGGGTCATAGCCATGCGGTAGAATCAGCAATGCCTTGTCATTCCCAAGCTACTGCTCTGCTACATCAGCTCATGCAGTCAGCTTCATTGTTGCCATGCGGGTGCGTCCTGGCCTAGAGACGGGTGTCTCCCATCCCTTCATAATGACACCCTTCAGCTTCCTCCTTTGTGGTAGCTTAGGCACCTTAGCTTTGCCCTGCTGCTGCTCTCCTCTCACAGGTCCAGCAGCTTCCCTGGTGCTACCACTAGTCTCCACATCATCTCCTCCACCAGCAGGTGCCTCTTGCACCTTCTCTCCATCACCACCCTCTGCCTCCTCTCCCTCCTCCCATACACTAGGAGTCAGGTCCAGCTGCATGGTAATCTGCTCCATCTGCTGGGACACCCTGGCCTCCGGCTGTTTCTCCCAGCTCCCATACATCATGCCCTCAACAAACTTCACATCCCTGCTGTCAAACAACACACCCTTGGATGGTTCCCACAGCAGCCATCCCTTGCTCTCAGCAGCCAGCCCCAAATGCACACACCAGATTGCACTCGCCTCCAATTTACTGCGGTAGGTCTTGGGGACGTGGGCGACTGCCATGCAACCAAACACCCTCAGCTTCCTCCCAAGCCACGGGTCATCACCAACCTTAGTGAGCACCCTGTTCCTAGCCACGGTGGCGTGCCGGACAGCATGGGGCCACATCGAGTTGCCAAGGCTAGATTCTATGAGCAGCGCCCTAGCTGTCTCTAGAATGGTCCGGTTCGCCCGTTCTGCTACACCGTTCGACTGTTGGGTATAAGTCGTGGTCAGCTCCCTCTCGATGCCCTGCTTCTTGAGCCAGACCGTCGTCTCAGCTCCAAGGAACTCACCACCCTGGTCTGTCCTAATCCGCTTCACTACACACTCCGCCTGCTTCTCCATGAATGGCAGCCAATCGTCCTGTATCGTGGAGGCGGCGTGGTCCTTCTGCTTTAGCGGATACGCCCACATCAGCCTGCTCCAATCATCCACAATGGTTAGGAAATACCGCTCCCCCTTGTGCCCTTATACGAGCAGCGGCCCCACCAAGTCCATGTGGACCAGCTCCAAAGGCTTCTTGCTCCTGCCAGCCACACTATGGAAGGGGAAATGGGTAAACTTTGAGAGCAAACAGATTTCACAGTTTTCATCACGTGGCTGTCCGTTCAGCTTCAAGCCGGCTCCATCCATCTCCAGCTGTTTCAGCAAAGGCATTGCCACATGCCCAAGCGTCGGTGCACCATTGCCCAATCTGTCTCCCCAGATCTGGCCGACACTTTCACGCCAACCCCTCCAACGGCGTTGCACTCCCCCTGGGATGCAGACCCCTCTCCAGCCTGCCCCCCCACCGTGTCGCGCCGACGCCGGCAGCTGCCTCATGGATCTGTACATGTTCTTGCTCTCGTGCAGAACCCAAAGCACCCGATTGCCCAGCTGCCCCTTGTACGTGCGAGCCCCATCCGTGCTAGTGCTCACCCCAGCCTTGGCAAGCTTACGGAGGGAGATGAGGTTGGCCTTGAGATCGGGGACGAACTGTTGGGTGCAAATTCATATTGCACGACATCCTGCCGTCTGTTTGTACCAGAATGTGTATATGAATGCATTTGGGTGTGAATGGAATGTTCGTGTGTTTGTTTGCTTTCACAATTTTTGCTTGATGCATTTGCAGGTACTCGCGCAATGTGCGCTTCGGCACAACGTTGTACGCGCTATGAACAGTGCAAGCAGAAAGGGCGAGCTTGCAAAGGAACCCAAGATGGAAGCTTTGCGGTTCGGTTGAATTTATCGCGCAGATTCAGTTCTATCCACCTCGAAATTGTACTGTTTTGTTTGGTTGACTATAGTGTAGCAGGGCAGGCACTATAGGGGTACAATTTAGGTGAAGGTTGAATGTTGTTTGTCTGTATCTGCATGCTACAGGACCAGGGGAAACCAGCGGAACCAGCATTTGGCTGGTTGGGCAAAGACAAAACATGTTCTGTTTTTAGAACCTGAACCTGGTTGTTGTTTTTCCAGGTTGGAAAAACAGAACCAGAGGTTGTTTACCAGCCTACCACCTGCTATTTTGTCCAGCCAAGTTGGTTCTGTTGCTTGGAATTATTTGGGATCATCCCTGGTTCTTCCCAGGTTGATTTCCAAGGTCCTTGCTAGCTATAACTATATATTCCTTCTCTGTTTGTACCTCAATATAGTCAATTGATTCAAGCAAATTCCTTACTCGTTGGAATTTAGTTTCTGCGCTATTCGATAGCGGAATGCTACCCGAGTCAACGCTAGTATGCTAGCACTCTAACGCTAGGCAAACGCTGTCCGAGCCATAACTTCGTAATGGCAGAACTTTTCGCGAGGCAAATTGGCTTATTTAAAAGCTCTTGGAGCGAGCTTCGATATAGCAAATTCTCAGCTTAATCCGATCGATGGTCTGCACGGCACGCTGCGCGACGTTCAAGATACTCTTGTTATTTTGGCTAAGTCATTCTTGACTCCTCTCTCTACAAACTCGGACCCGAGGATAGGGGCTGGTCTTGTACCAGGCACCCAAGGACCCTTGGAGGTGACCCCGAGGAGAGGTTTTAAGTTTGATAAAGTCTTAATAGCCCTTACACCAACAATCTGGTATCAGAGTTGATTAGGCCCTTACACCAACAAGCTGGTATCAGAGCTGCGTTATAGCGATCCTCGTTATAGGTAGTGAATCTTCAGCCCGAGATTCTTCAGCCCAAGATCGTAGCGGCAGCCAAGATTCTGGTGTTTCGGCGCCATAAGGAGCGCGAACCAACCAGGGCTCGCTGATCAAGGAGGTGCTGAAGAATTTCACCGTCGAGAAGTTCAATGGTGAGGGCTATAATGATTGGGCCTGGAAAATGCAACTTTATTTCCGTCAGATCGGTTTGCTGAAACTAATAATTGGGGAGAAGCCTAGATCGAGTGACCCCGCGCTGCAGGAAGATTGGGACGAGCGCGCCTCGGCTGGCTACTATTTGATGTCGCAAAGTTTGGAGCTGAACCAGCGTCACCACGTCAGACACCTGCTGCTGGAGGTTGATTGCGGTCCGAAGGCGTGGACCGTGTTGAAGGAGCTGCATGCCCCTACCTCTGTCGCTGCGACGCTCATGATGGAGAGGGAGCTGTCCGCGTTACGCTTAAGCGAGGGAGAGCCCATACAACCTGTTTTGGACAAGATGCATGATCTCTACGCGAAGCTGGCGATCGCGGGAATCACCTACCCGGAGCAGACCAAGTGCCTGAAGATGCTCTCGCTGCTGCCGGAATCGTGGCTTCAATTTACGAGCAGATTGAGCCTGCCGCAGAACCAGAGCTTGTGGACGCTCGAGTGGGTGCGGACGAAGATTCTGGAGGAGGACTTCCGTCGCCGCCAACTGAGGGATCGAGACGACGGCAGCAGCGGCTACGGGATGCAAGGGAGCCGACGTGGTAGAGGACGTGGCTTCGGTGGTGCTAGATGCGATGCAAAGAAGGACGACGACTCCAACGACCAACAAGGAGGTATCGGTTGGGGCCGCGGTGCGAAATCTGAGGTTTTTGCACCGCGACCCCAACCGGTACCTCCTTGTTGGTCGTTAGAGTCGTCGTCCTTCTTTGCACCGCGCCCAGCGCCACGTCGGCTCCCTTGCATCTTGTTAGTCGTTAGAGTCGTCGTCCTTCTTTGCACCGCGCCCAGCACCACGTCGGCTCCCTTGCATCCCGTAGCCGCTGCTGCCGTCGTCTCCACCCCTCAGTTGGCGGCGACGGAAGTCCTCCTCCAGATTTATCGTCCGCACCCACTCGAGCGTCTACAAGCTCTGGTTCTGCGGCAGGCTCAATCCGCTCGTGAATTGAAGCCACGATTCCGGCAGCAGCGAAAGCATCTTCAGGCACTTGGTCTGCTCCGGGTAGGTGATTCCCGCGATCGCCAGCTTCGCGTAGAGATCACGCATCTTGTCCAGAACAGGTTGTACGGGCTCTCTCTTGCTCAAGCGCAACGCGGACAGCTCCCTCTCCATCATAAGCGTCGCAGCGACAGAGGTAGGGGCATGCAGCTCCTTCAACACGGTCCATGCCTTCGGACCGCAATTGCATAATGTGAGGACGCTGGTTCAGCCTCCAAACTCTGCGACATCAAGTAGTAGCCAGCCGAGGCGCGCTCGTCCCAATCTTCCTGCAGGGCGGGGTCACTCGGTCTAGGCTCCTCTCCAATCATTAGTTTCAGCAATCCAATCTGACGGAAGTAGAGTTGCATTTTCCAGGCCCAATCATCATAGGCTTCACCATTGAACTTCTCGACGGTGAAGTTCTTCAGCACCTCCTTGATCAGCAGGCCTTGGTTTGATCGCGCTCCCCGTGGCGCTGAAACACCAGAATCTTGGCTGCCGCTACGATCTTGGGCTGAAGATTCACCAGCTCCCGCCGAGGTATTGCCCGCCATAGCTACCTATAACGAGGATTACTATAACGCAGCTCTGATACCAGCTTGTTGGTGTAAGGTGTTGGTGTAAGGGCCTAATAAACTCAGGCTATTAAGACTTAATCAAACTTAAAACCTCTCATCGGGGTCACCTCCAAGGGTCCCTGGGTGCCTGGTACAAGACCAGCCCCTATCCTCGGGTCCGAGTTTGTAGAGAGAGGAGTTAAGAATGACTTAGCCAAAATAACAAGAGTACCTTGAACGTCGCGCAGCATGCCGTGCAGCTCATCGATCGGATTAAGCTGAGAAGTTGCTATAACGAAGCTCGCTCCAAGAGCTTTAAAATAAGCCAAGTTGCCTCGCAAAAAGTTCTGCCATTACTAAGTTCTGGCTCGGACAGCGTTTGCCTAGCGTTGGAGTGCTAGCATACTAGCGTTGACTCGGGTAGCATTCCGCCATCGAATAGCGCAGAAACGAAACTCCAGCAAGGAAGGAATTCGCTTGAATCAATTTGACTATATTCAGGTACAAACAGAGAAGGATTAAATAGTTCTAGCTAGCAAGGACCTTGGGAATCAACCTGGGAACAACCAGGGATGATCCCAAATAATTCCAAGCAACAGAACCAACCTGGCTGGACAAAATAGCAGGTGGTAGGTTGGTAAACAACCTCTGGTTCTGTTTTTCCAACCTGGGAAAACAACAACCAGGTTCAGGTTCTAATAACAGAACCTGTTTTGTCTTTGCCCAACCAGCCAAATGCTGGTTCCGCTGGTTTCCCCTGGCCCTGTAGCATGCAGATACAGACAAACAACATCCAACCTTCACCCAAATTGTACCCCTATAGTGCCTGCCCTGCTACACTATAGTCAACCACAGTACAATTTCGAGTAGGATAGAACTGAATCTGCGCAATCAATTCAACCGAACCGCAAAGCTTCCATCCTGGGTTCCTTTGCGAGCTCGTCCTTTCTGCTTGCACTATTCATAGCGCGTATAATGTTGTGCCGAAGCGCACATTGCACGAGTACCTGCAAATGCATCAAGCGAAAATTGCAAAAGCAAACAAACACACGAACATTCCATTCACACACAAATGCATTCGCACACGCATACTCGTACAAACAGACGGCAGGATGTCGTGCAATATGCATTTGCACCCAACATAAGGGCCTAACAAACCCAAGCTATTAAGACTCAATCAAACTTAATACCTCTCCTCGGGGTCACCTCCAAGGGTCCCTGGGTGCCTGGTACAAGACCAGCCCCTATCCTCGGGTCCGATTTTGTAGAGAGAGGAGTCAAGAATAACACAGCCAAAATAACGAGAGTACCTTGAATGTCGCTCGCTCCAAGAGCTTTCAAACAAGCCAAGTTGCGTCGCGAAAAGTTCTGCCATTACGAAGTTATGGCTCGGACAGCGTTTGCCTAGCATTGGAGTGCTAGCATACTAGCGTTGACTCGGGTAGCATTCCGCCGTCAAATAGCGCAGAAACGAAATTCCAGCGAGGAAGGAATTCGCTTGAATCAATTCACTATATTGAGGTACAAACAGAGAAAGAATAAA